GAGAGAGAGAGAGAGAGAGAGAGAGAGTGTTGCCTGCATGCCCGTGACGGATTTCAGCACTCCCCATATAATATGCTTCTTGACACGAGAGAACAACCTCCTCCAAGTACCAACAAACTCAGTTCGGTGGAATGTGTCCATCAACAACCTCAAGTCGCTCACGGCAAATCTTGATCCTTCGTACGTAACCAGCAGCTCAACCTACTCAATGGATGCACAAAATGAAATGCGAATGAGAAAGAAATTCGGAGAGAAAGAACGTAGGTTTTAGAAATGTTGTTCCAAGGACATACATACCTGACTGATCTTGATATTGTGGAACTCCCTCAACTTTCGAGGTTGAGATCTTTTCTCGTCTGGCAATTTTCCCGATTTCTTCTCCTCGTGCGACGAACGGCCGGGTTTTAGTTTTACGTCTTTTAATTTAGTCTTAGTGGCCTCATCTTGCTGTTCAAGGGTAAGAGCAGAACCATGTTTTGATGAAGAGTGCAGATGCAGTACAAGTTCATCAGCCACAGATTCTGCCACATTCTCTTCCCATGTTCTGTCAAAGGAAGATGTTCTCCTGAGATCGGGTTTTGTTGTTTTGGAATTTTGTAGTTTTGATGCCTGCATAAGATAAATTTAGAGCACAGTTAGCAACTTCATTTTGCTTTAACAGAATTAATTCATCAGTTACTATCTATAATACAAGGATTGATCAAACTAAACTTTAAGTAACATGGGTACAGCTCCATATTACCTCGACATTCCTGGCCGGTTTGGTTTCACCTCAGAATACTACTCAAAACAGAAAAGCACACTGCCTAAAATTCTTTTAAGTCGATGGAAATCACGGAGAAGAATTCACAGCCTGACATTCCAGGTCCGGACCGTCCAGTTAGTTGCACCATATAACATAGATCAAGTGGCTTCTTTTCCTTTTGGAAGGGTGATAAGGGTTTACAACCTAAAGTTGAACTGTTGTCGTTTTGAAATATATCTGCTCCTCGCCGATCACTTCTCTAAACTAATTAAGAAAGAAGGTGCAATACAAGATTTCCAAGGTACTCTAGTCAAAATGTGGGGCTGAAGGCAGTCTCTTCTGAACAATATTTTTCTCTAGAGAAAAAAATCAACAGCTAATCCATTGTTCCTGATTCTATTACTGAAACATCATCTTCTGTTTGCTCCATAAAAATCTCTCTCTCTCTCTCTCCCTCTCTCGCTCTCACCCCCTCAAATAATCTCTTTCAAACTCTGCTTCTCTCTAATGCAACAATTCTGTATCTTTCCTTTCAAGGAAGCTGACAGACCAAGTTACAAAGAAAGGAAAGATCCCTAACAAGCAACACCTAATATTTAGGCTCATTTTTGGTCATGTGACTCAAGTTCAGCACAAGGAATAAATATATCAAGGCAATCATAATTTCTCCATTTAAGATAAAAGAAATGATTGATTCTAGACGTGTTAAAGGTAACTTGGCCATTTATTCAGGGAAAATTAGTCCACTTGTCCTTGCATGACACACATCCCTGATATCTATAAGCTTCCAAAAGTAAAATAAATGCAGCATTAATATTAGACGTTTTACTCACTTGGGAAGAATCAGTAGTAATGCCAGATTGGTTAGTTGCAGATGAAGCTGCAAAATTAAAGGTACTTGATTTTGATGTTTCAGCATCTTTTGTAGAATGATTGCCAGATGTGGAAGCATCGCTAACTAATGTTCCTTTCTTCGCACGCCTTAAACCTGCTGTAGTCGAGCCTTTCCATACTTGCTATACATCACACGCAAATATATGTATCTATATATAAGGTTTGCCTCACAGTAATCTGGTTAAAAGTTTTAGAGAACGATTGGACTAACCTGTCGCCTTTGGGAGTCTTGTTCTTCTTCTGGAAAGAGATACTGCCACATCACTCGGTACAAGCTCTCAGTCAAATGTATTTTTAAAGGGTAGATCTCCACCTAAACAGTAAGACACAGTTTATCATGCAATTACAGTAAAAACTATCCTTATTTGGAAAAGTACGGATCACGAAGACTCATTAGTAAGGAACATGCAAACATAATCCAGCTACAGAAAGCACCTTAACGCATATAATCGAACATTTAGGATACTTAAATTAGAATCTCAGTATGTTAATGCAGTTGGCTTTACTTTTTGTACGGGGGTAGACAGAGAGAAAAATATATTAGGTCAGAAAAAACTGGATACTGAAAAGGAATGAAAACAACACCGAGTAATTGATTATGCACAAATATGAGAAATACATGAAAAACTATTAACCTGGAATAATTCAAGAGGAGAATTTCCATCCTTCGAGAATCCCTGTTTTGCATCTACACGGAGCATCACTTTTCTGCATCCAGAGAAAGAAAAGATAGGCTAGATTGGACAAGGAAAATAGCTGCATATCTTGATTTTGATCCATCAGAAAGGAAAGATAACATGAAAAATGATTATGCGTCTGATTAGATACTAAACACATGGATCATGCTAAACATTAAGTTGATCCAAATTGCCATCCTGTGTCTGAATGTTGGGCATAGGTCCAATAATAGATAAGAGATTGCACTTAGTTTGAACCTCAAACTATTTACTATCTGTTGCCCTCAAGAGGAGTTTCTCGAGTAAATTACCCAAAAAAAATAAAAAGAAAAAGGCAATAACTTGCACATAAACAATTTCAAACTTTGACAAGATGATGAAAAATGGAAACATATGGTTCACATGACTTATCATTACATCAACTATAAAATTTTGAATACACACAGTTAAGGAAACCCATGCCCACAATATATAATATATATGCTACAAATAAATAAGTTCTCATAATCAGCAACTACATTTATACAAATCAGAACATGTTAATTACATAAATGTCGAATCGGGCACAACCTGTGCTTAGCTCAAACACATAATTTTTTAGAAAGCAGATTGTTATTTCTCCCAAATCAATTTAAAGTTACGATCACATTTAACTTTAATTCCACTGGAGGAATTTTAATGCCAAAATGAGATTGTTTATGGAAAACGTTATGTATACTATTCACTCAATACACGTATTCCCTCCTACTAATCACCTCTACTCTTTTAATGTAGAATAAAAGAAACTATAACATCATTAATCATTACTACACATTTCCTAAAAGTGTTATTTTGAAATACTTTATTTATCAAGTCATAGAATTACCATTCAAATATAATCTTTATCATACTATTATCATATAATATCATTTCTTTTTATGTCAACTCCCATTCAATAACTTAATTATCCCGTATTTATACTAGAAAGAGAAAAAAATCCAAAATGAATGTATATCCCACTGCAATGGGTGGGATGGTGGGGTAAATATGTGATGGTCCAACATAACAATAAACTAATCACCAATTCATCATTTGCTGCAATGGGACTGAGTTATAGCTCAAGCTTTGACGCACAAGAAGCCTAACTGTGTACGGAACTCAATAATTTTATCAATCATAAAATATAAAAATAATAAACAGAAAAGAAAAATTGTGGTGCGACTGAAGAACATGATATGGAAACGGAAAACACGTCAATGATAAAAAAGGAGAATGAAGATATTGACAATAGAGAAAATACATACTTTCCCCATTCAGAAGGAGGATTCCATGCAGATAAGAGCATGTCAGACTTAGCATTCGGAAGACAATTTCTCACAACAAAGTACTTTGTGGTGAACTTAGCTACACCTACATCCTTATAGTCTCTGTCAAAGTCATAAATCTGCATCATGAAATTGCAACCTCTGTACTGAACTAGACATAAGGGAAA